TGACTTTTTGATGGCAACATAGTAGTTGTCCAGTCCAGTTGTGACTAATTAATCATACTCAAACTATTTGTTGACATTTTTATGACTTACATGCAACTATACCCACGAGAGACCATTTTAACTTGAGATCATATTAGGATCTATGATCTCAAGTGGAAATTTGACATCAAAGCTGCCTGATGTCAGTCTTGGCAGTGGCTGGGTATATTTATTTGCAACTATACGAGAGACGAAGAAACAAAATTTTTTCCTGATACTTTTAGTTGAATTACTCACTGCAATTGTATCTTGTAATATCATTGAACTGCTATGTTTTTGTATACTTTTAATTACAATCTGTCACACCAGGACATTCAATAATTGTTTTGACGTTATTCTATAGCTTTTTGAATAAATGGTAACCCAGTAGTTGTCCAATCCAGTTGTGACTAATTAATTATACTCCAAGTTGTTGACATTTTTATGACTTACATGCAACTTTACCCACGATGGACCACTTTCACTTGAGATCATATTCAGAAATATGACTTCAAGTGGAAATTTGACATCAAAGCTGCCAGATGTCAGACTTGGCAGTGGCTGGGTATATTTATATGCAACTATACCCAAGAGAGACTAAGAAACAAAATTTTTTCCTGATACTTTTAGTTGAATTACGCACTGCAATTGTATCTTGTTATATCATTGAACTGCTATGTTTTTGTATACTTTTAATTACAATCTGTCACACCAGGACATTCAATAATTGTTTTGACGTTATTCTATGGCTTTTAAAATAAATGATAACTCAGTAGTTGTCCAATCCAGTTATGACTAATTAATTATACTCCAAGTATTTGTTGACATTTTTATGACTTACATGCAACTTTACCCACGATGGACCACTTTCACTTGAGATCATATCAAGATCTATGACCTGAAGTGGAAATTTGACATCAAAGCTGTCTGATGTCAGACTTGGCAGTAGCTGGGTATATTTGTATGCAACTATACCCACGAGAGACCATTTTTACTTGAGATCATATTAAGGTCTATGACTTCAAGTGGAAATTAGACATCAAAGCAGTCTGATGTCAGACTTGACAGTGGCTGGTATCAAACCAGCGAACCAGGGATTAGTTTAAGAAATGCTAATTTGAATATTAGTTCGTTCTAATTGTGACATAACTAACTAACTAAAAAATATATCTTAGTATTCCAAATTACTTGGAGAAAATAAATTCCAATTTTCTTGGTAAGTAATTGTTACAAAAAAATTAATTACTTGTTCAAACATGATTAGAGCTTGTAAAGATATCAATCATGTGTCAATAAATGTGAAAACTCAATCTGTGTAAATAGTTTAATATGTGAAAACCAAACTTTTCAATTTTATTTCGGTTTACTGGCAGCTAATGGCTTTAAACTTTAAAGTCATCAGCTTCCAATTTTTAAGTAATACATTGTTACAACATTAGTTATTTCAATATGGTTAAACTTCTAAAATAGAAGAGTTAAATTAGCAAAGCAAATATTGAATGTATTATAAAAAAGCCTTAATCACCAAACAACATCTGCCTCAGAAATATATTTGTTTTTTTTTAATATCTGTCCCTATTCCATATGGAGCATCAGCAAATTTCTGGTAGTACTTATTAAAATGTCTAAATCGAATGCCAATCCAGTGACTAAACGACTTAGAAATATATTAAAAATATCTAAATGTATTTAAACATTTTTCAAAATTATTTGAAAAATCTCTGATAAATCTTCCGAACTTTATATTAAAATTAACCACTATGAAAATAATAAAACTTTACTATTTATTTTGATAATATGATTATCTACATTTATAACCATTAATGCCTCATTCAAAACACAAAAAACGTAAGAAATCCCGTTTAAATGGCCACAGTGATTCACGCGAGTTCACAGACAGTACAGTTATAATTAGCTTTTACTACGAATGTCTACGAGTTTACATCTAATTTTAAAAGTGGACTCTATTTACTGTTATTTTCTAAATTTGAAACTATTTATTAACACAATTTAAATAATAGAATTGATGGATGTTTGAAAAAAAGTTTTGGAATACATACTTTGGTAGTATGTGGATATACACATTCTGGTGCATTTAATAAGAAAGAGTAACATTTGGATTCTATTTCATGGAGTGAATTTAGTATTTAATTGTTTTTTATAACTCTTGTAACATTCCTTAATGTAAAATCATATTAAAATACATAGCAAAATGTGTGTCAACCATCATATCCGGACCTCTTTTACCACTGGCATTCGATTTGAGGGAAGACATTTTGGGTACTACCATAAACTTGTTGATGTTCCATTATGAAATAGGCACAGATATTATAAAACATGTGTATCATAGTAACTGATTTCGCTTAATTAAATGTTTATTACACACATATAAAAACTTGACGAATAGAGATTAGCATTGAACAGAAAAAGAACTGAAAAGTCCAAATTGGACGCAGGAAATTGCTAGTTCAATAAACTTGGCACAACATAGTACTTGAAAAAACCAAAATATACGAATACAGTTACTAAATATAAGATCAATAGTCTTGATACTTGTGTTACTTTAGTAAAAACAATAAAGTAAAAAGCTTGAATATTTCATGACGTACCAGGAAGCAGTTAATTAACTCATTAATAATCAGCGGCACTAGACTTTGTACAGAAGGCTTACCCACCATGTACAATCATCTGATAACAGATGCTGATAAAAAGAAAAACATGCATGCATAACGCACGATTATGACCTATTGGTTCTAATTTTAGAATCATGAAATCTATATCTGACACACTTTTTGAGAGATCAAACATTTTTAATTGATATGGAGCCAAAATTGAATATACCAAGAATAAAAAAAAGAGGTGCAAGTATTTATGCTTCTATTTTTTAAATTGTCATAAAATTAAATTATCTTTTCTGCATTAAAAACCTATTTATTCAAGCACGGCAAATATTAAACTATCTTTATTTAATAAATTCTAATTATTATCCGGATTGCCGGAACAGTGGGTAATTTATGGACTGACTCATGAAATTAACATTTAATATAAACAAAAGCAAACAGTAATTCGAATAAATTTTGGCTAGTAATCATATGATTGGTAATCAATTCAAATATTCTAAGTACTACCAAAAATTTGCCATAAATTCCATAGGAAATAGGTGCGAATATTAAAAAAAAAAAGGCTAATAGAGTAGTTCACAAAACTAATTGCCTGTTCATCCAAATTATTTTCCGATATAAATCACTAAGCTTTATGATTTGTTATAAAATCATCAGAATATATTACAAACACAAATTTAGCTCACACGATCGCAAACTATGTTTGCTCGGACATTTAAATCAAATTGGAATCTAATAGGAACTGTCACAAACACGTGGCAGTATAAAAACAAATATGATTCCGTTTGTTTTTACAAAAGTATGTTTTTACTGTTATTTTTAAAATCTTCTGTGAGAACTCTTTGGGTTTTAAATACTCATGTGTGGAATTTCCTAGTTTTGAAGCTGAATTGAACACGTAGATTTTACGCTTATGATCATAGGTATTTTTAAAAATAGGTACGTAAGTAACCGGTGTAATTACCTGGGATTATTGCAAAGGTGCAAAGGTATATGAAAATTTACACTACTAATTTCATGTGACGTCATTGGGTAAATAATATTTTTCCCTGAATATGAAAAATTTACCATCATACCCAGACGCCCAATCGTCCGGGTCCCAAATAGGTACAAATATATATGAAAATAAAATAAAAATATATGAAAAATTCAAACGATTTTAAAAAAATATCGCACAATTATATTCGCATAGTGTGCCTGATATACTTTATTTATAATTTCTGGTAAATATTATCATTTTCCAAATGAATTATATAAACTGTACAAAATAGAAGAAAAACATATAAATTTTTTTAAACTATCCAACCAAAAAAAAACAATTGTAAATGAATTGATGATGTAAATCACATATTTACACATATGTACATACAATTATATTAATTAAATTTTAATGATAAATAACGCAAAAATGTGTATCAATATTAATTCGTAAATTTATAATATACCAAATATTGACGAAAAATGTGTTTTTGTTACATCCAAATGTTATTAAGATGGATAATAGCACACGTATCTTACGTGATTGATTGTTGACCTGTATTAGATGCATCAACAAGAGAAATATCCCATTCAGCATCCCAGTATATAATATAAGCTTATAAGCTTATCAGTATTTTTTACTTTCAGTAAATATTGTATGTTATATAACTAAATAAGTGTTAAAGTTGGGCAATTGTTGATGAAATTAATTTTCTTCTATGAAAAATTGAGCTTTTTCATAAGCTCCAAAAAGCTCAATTTAAACTTATTCAAAAACTGGCAGAAATCGAGATGAACAATGATGTAATTAGTTACTATAGCAATTCTTACGAAATAGGGCTTCTGGTAAGAGGGCGAAAATTTAGGTTTGTCTTTTTTATCTTTTTAAAAATTAGCCTCAAAAATTTAAAAAAATCCTTCGGGGTAGACTACCCCTACCACTTGGTTTTAATCAAAATATGTGAAAACCTGTCCAGGGATTTACCTAACAGTTATATTGTAAGTATGGATGAATGAATGTATGGTTTATGAAAGCACAGGGCATATTTAAACAGGTATTAAACACGTTGATTGCCACGATAATATCAGATCAATTTTTGGATGGACCATGGTAACTTTTTTAAATACATATATACGAATTCGATATATGTACATATTTATATGATATGATTTATGAATGATAAGAGGACGCGAATGAAATTTTAACAAAAGTAAAAAAATATATATTATGCAGGTAAATTAAATATTCCCTGATCTTAATATATACCTTAGTTATAGATGATCAAATTTTAAAAGTATATAATTTTTGTCTAAAATGTAAATCGTGGTAGACCGTTATTCGTCTAGACCTGATACAATATATACATAAGTTCACTGACTCACCGTCAGAATGCGTTCTGAGCGTCCAATCGTATACACTAACACTGTCACCGATTCATGATCAACGAAAAATTACACACGAAACTCATTCAAAACACTACACAAAACTAACTTGAATTAGATACTTTGTCACTTTTTAAAGTACCTTCTAACAGACCCGCACTTAGTAATTCGACACTAGGCTGTCCTCATATCGTAATGTTTACATAAGCTATCAGATCGATAAATTATAGCACGGATCTTCTGATAAAGTGGCATTTAAATATGTTATTTTACACGAACATTGTAGAAGACACTTATCTATTATAATATTAATACTTAATTACGATTCGAGTGAATGAACACATGTATTATATTTTAAAAAAAATGCAAATTGACATCACTGCTTCCGGACCACCAATTTAAATCACTTACGCGCTAGATTTGAATTCGCTTCCGGAACGAATGTATTTATGCGAGAACACAATTTTGGGACGATAGGTCGTATTGAACACACATGTATCTAATAGTCTATTACACAAAAGAAATTTATTATATCACACATGAAAATAGATACTGGACGTTAAATAAATAAGTAGTCTTAATATACATAAATAATAAAAGGACAAACCCAGCCGAGCTCCACACCCGTTCCCTACGATGTCTGCGCGTTGACTGAACTCGCAACGCTTATTTAGAACATAGAACGGAGTGGAAGCGAGATAAATAACGATGGTATACTCTCTTTTCCTCAACATCAGCAGTTTACCGGTTTCCTACATATAGGGATTTTCAGCAAAACTAAAGGTTCTCAAACTTTACCAGGAAACCCTTTGGAAAATTCGCACCCTTGAACTTACCAAAATGTAACCTATATAAGATCAACTATTAAATATGATAAAATTTTACTGAATTTGTGGTTGTTATTTCTGTAGACCACTGCAATAATTAAATATGTCTAAAATTAAATTAATTTAGCATATCCATAAATCAAATATGGTACTACCATAACTTGATTTATCTTTGTTTTATGGTAGAACTAGATAGATGTGCGGCAGAAAGTTTTTTGAATCATTCAAATCGGATGCTTAGTTCTCTCAAAAAATGCAATTTTTTGCACATTTAGCTCGATACCTCCAAAACGGCTGGATCTGCCTTTACCAAAAACATAACACCACTTCTCTCCGTCATTACAAATTGAATGTTTCTGGATCATTCAAATCGGATGCTCCGTTCTCTCAAAAACTCGATTTCTATTTTCTGCACTCTTTGCTTCGTATCTCTAAAACGGCTGGACCTGCCTTTGCCAAGAATTAATCAGCTGATCTCCCTATCAATAGGAATCGAATGTTTTTTGAACCATTCAAATCGATGGACGAAAAATTGTATCCATACATACATACACACACACACATCCATTTTTCTGACCCTACGAGAAATTATAAATTAAGAAAAACAGGCTAATAAAAAAAGCTAAAATTGTTGGCATATTCAAAATTGGTTAATAGAACAAAATTCGTCAAGCAAATTAAGAACAATGAAATAAATTATTGAGAATACAAATGTTCTCTCAATCATTTCTTACATGAAATGCAACAACAAGCATAAGAATAACTATTTTTTTCTTTTCCGTTCAAGACATTTGCTTTTCTATAATATTCAATACTTCATTACTCGTTAATTTCATCAGTAAAAAAACGAAGCTAATAATTATTTAATGTTAAAGGTAAATATGTAATCTATAGTTTATTGCATTTAAATTTTCACTCCATATGAATCGCTAACTTCTTTCATTTTAGGTTTTAAGCTATTTTCAGTCACTTCGTTATCTTATTATCAGATCATAATAATAGTCGATGTATTTGAGAAAAATACAATAATTTTAATGTCAATGCCAATCAATTTTAATTGTACATTAATGTCAATTTATTTTGGTAATAAAAAAAAAGATTTAATTATATTAAATTAGGATTAATTATTTCGAGCTATTTTTCAGTCACTTCATTATCTTATTATCAAACCATAATTATAGTTAATTTATCTGAGATAAATACAATCATATGTTAATTGTACATTCATGCCAATTCATTTTCGTATAAAAAATTAGATTTCATAAACAAAATATAATTATAATAAAAAAAATTTCAAAGCATATTCGCAGAAAAGGGTATGAAATAATATTGAATATATATGAAAAATTAAAATCATATTTTCCATACTAAACAATCTACTGCTATAAAAATCTTATGCTGGGCATAATGAAATCTAAATAGTTGATAAAATTATGTTAGAGCAAAAAATATTGAATTGAAATTGAAATGGAAATATTGATAACGCACGATTCATTCATATATAGAATATTATTCGAGGGCTTGAAAATGTAAAACAAAGCTTCAAAATTATTTCGAAGGCATGTGTCAGCGCATTATAAGTTAGATCGAACTTAGATTCAAGTTAATTTTTCTAAAATTTTCCATATATGCTAACTTATACGTTATAAATCTTCACCATGGAAAGGTCTGCTACAGTATAGCTTTTTAAAAGCCATTATAATTAACGCATCATCCTAATTACTAAACTAAATAACAAAATTCAGAATTATTTTTAAGGCATGTGTCTGCCCATTGTATGTTGGATCGTGCTTAGATTTAAGTTTATTTTTTCTGAAATTTTCCATATATGCTAACTTATATGTTATAAATCTTCACCATGGAAAGGTATAATTATAATTAACGCATAGTCCTAATTACTAAACTGTCTACCACAAGATGGACTGTAATTTCTTTGAGAAATGAAAAATATGAGTCTGGCCAAAACACCCTGAATAGTTCCAGTATTTGATGGATCCCTGGTTTGATAACCATTTCCACGATAGTCATCAACGCGCCATTCAGTATTGATGGATCCAGCTTTTTCGGTATGCATGCAGCAAGTTCACGGCATTGTATTTGTATCCCCGAAATAAAAACATTTGGAAGTGCCGAGGAGCTCGATGGAAAGAAAGGAAGAGTCGATCGGGCTTGGAAACGAAATTACACCTAGTCCCTCTCGCTTTGCCCGGTGCCCTGCGCATACACAATGTCGAGTATTTCGAAAAGGGATCTAGTTATGAGTTGATTTAAAATGATGCGATAATAATTTCATTGAAGAAATATACATAAAAAGTGAACTAGTGGTGAATAGCATCGTGCCTAAAGTAAAATTGCTGGAACTTCCCGTACCGTAAGGAAATATTCGAGGCATATTAAATGTTTTCAAATAGATTATTTTTTCAATACTGTAACTTATATATGTTTACAAAAACTAAAAAACAAAACTTAATCAATCTAATTTAAAATGAAGGACATTGTCTAATATTTATAAGAATTATATAAACTGAATTGCAAAGTTCAAATTATTTAAGTATATAAGTGAGCTTTAGAACTTTATCTAGAACAAAATTAAAATTCGATTTATTTTTGATATTAAATTTTTTTTTCTTTGGGAAATTCTTTCCCAAAAGCAATCGTTCATCAACACAACCAGATTTTTTTTAAAATCATTCAAATCGGACGCTTAGTTCTCTCAAAAACTACCATTTTTTATACATTCAGCTCCGTATCTTCGAAATGGCTGAACCTGCATTTTCCTAAAACTAATCCCCACTTCTCCCCATCATTACGATTTGAATGTTTTTGGATCATTCAAATCGGATACTCCAATCAGTCAAAAACTCGATTTCTATTTTCTGCACTCTTTGCTCAGTATCTTCGTAACGTCCGGACCTGCCTTTGCCAAAAACTAATCAGCACATATCCCTATCAATAGAAATCGAATGTTTTTTGAACCATTCAAATCGGTTGATCCGTGCGTCCGAAAACGTGGACGAAAAAATGTGGACATACAAAACACACACAGAATGTTCAAAAACCTCTGATACGTGAAGATATGCAAAAATTTTCATTTTCGATTTTTAGCCCATTACTATAGCTTAACCCTACGGGAAGTTAAAAATTTTGATGTACGTGGATGAAATCAAATAAACTAGTAGTGTATGGCATCGTGTCGTAAGATAAATTGCTGGAACATCCCGACCCGTAATTAAACATTCAAGGAATTTTGGTCAGTATTTTCGAAAACTGCTTTTCCAAAAACTAATCAGCACGTCTCACCGTCAATATGAATATGAAACCAATGTTTTTTGAATCATGCTAATCGGATGCTCCGTGTTCTGATTTTTGCACTTTTTGCACCGTATCTCCGAAACTCCTGGATCAGTCTCCCGGTCAATACGAATAGAATGTTTATAAATCATTGAAAGCAGTTGATCAGTGGTCTCGAAAATGTGGACGAAAAATTGTATACACATATACATGCTACAACACATACATATTCAAACACCTTCATCCGTTTTTTCTAAGGTATGCCAAAATAATCTGAAGTTCTTGAAGCGTAAAGAATGCAAAAGAAAAAATGTTTTCTATTTATTTGAGATTACTATAACTTAACTCTAGGGGAAGTTATTAAGCTTTGAATAGATAGTATAAACATAAATTCTGTTTAAAGTTATTAATTAAGTAAATAATTAATGTTATCATAGCAGTCAATAATATATTTCATTCAGAGGTGTTGTCGGGCCGGAACGCGTTCCGGCAAAAAAAAAATAAAAAAAAAATCACTACATACAAAAAATGATTTAATAAGTGAATTTTATAAATTATAATTTAACTAATTTTTATTATTAAACGTTCCTATTATTGTAATAAACATACAAATATGTGCACAAAATGAGTTTTGTAATGATTTTTGTTTCTTTCCTTTTCGAACGGAACCGGAACAAACATGAGAACCGTTTTTTGAACCGTTTTTTTTTACTTTAGCGTTCCGGCAAAAAAAATATTAGCACAACACCACCGATTTCATTCATATGTTTTAAATACATTAAATTAATATTGGAACTATTTTATATTATGTTATATATTATTATCAAATTGAATTTCTCAAATATATCTTGATCTATTGGCAAATAGTTCACAACATTCGTCCACTTCAAACAGTTTCTCACAAAATCATTTTTCGATTAATCGAAATAAGTATACACTTCCAGAGCTTTAAGCATTCACAAAGTTCTAGCGTGTCTACGTGCCAAAAGCCACGTACCTCATGGAGCATCGAGGAAAATAGGGATTTGCGCCGTCTCATG